CCCGGGCCTGCCAAACAACAATGACAGCTGCAACCAAAAATAGCCAGGTGTTGTGGTGGGCACCTGTAGTCCCAGCTACTTGGGAGGCAGAGACAGGAGACTCGCTTGAGCCCAGGAGTTGGAAGTCGCTGTGAGCTGTGACACTCTGGCAATCTACCCAGGGCGACAGCTTGAGGCTCTATCTCAAAAAAAAAAAAAAAAAATTAGCTTGCTTGGTGGTATGCACCTATAGTCCCAGCTACTTGGGAGGCTGAGGCAGGAGGGTCCCTTGATCCTAGGAGTCTGAAGTTGCAGTGAGCTGTGATGATGCCACTGCACTCTAGAGCAACAGAGTAAAGACTCTGTCCAAAATATAAAAGTAAACGCAATACAAAAATCTTTCTTTTACAAAATATACATCTAAGAATATATCCAAAATATGAAGAATGCACCTTTTATTTTTTTTCTTTTTTTTGAAGATTTTTTTTGGCCAGGGCTGGGTTTGAACCCACCACCTCCAGCATATGGAGCCGGTGCCCTACTCCTTTGAGCCATAAGCACCACCCAGAACACAGCTTTTAAAATAAGCTTTAAATTTGACTTAAATTTTTGAACACTTTCCCCTCCCCATCCTAAAATTTCTTAGATTTTTATACTCCTCTAATACAAAGCATATGTTATTAGTTTATTTAATTATTTTTTAATTTTTTTATTATTTATTTATTTATTTTGAGACAGAGTCTCAAGCTGTCACCCTGGGTAGAGTGCCATGGAGTTACTGCTCACAGTAACCTCAAACTCTTGGGCTTAAGCAATTCTCTTGCCTCAGCCTCCCAAGTATTTGGGACTACAGGCGCCTGGCACAATGCCTGGCTATTTTTTGGTTACAGTTGTCATTGTTGTTTGGCAGTCCCGGGCTGGATTTGAACCCGCCAGCTCCGGTATATGTGGCTGGTGCCTTAGCCACTTGAGCTACAGGTGCTAAGCCAATTTAATTATTTTTAAAATGGTCACTTTGGAAAAGAACTGATGACGGCTTCTCAAAACATCCTGACAACAAAGCTCACGGTGTTAAGCTGAGCCAATATGACCAGTGGAAGTGGATGCAACTGAGTGAGTTTCACATTACTTAGATTGTCTAAGTAGTTAAGCAGACAGAAATAAAGTCAGAAACCTTGTCCACAAAAGACTTAAAAAATTGTTCCTAATAAATGAGTAGGATATTCATCAATTTATTTTTTATTAGAACAATGTTTTAGGCCATGTTTTATTTATTGGTCCATAGTCACTTTCACTTCAGAATTTTTTTTTTTTTAGTTTTTGGCTGGGGCTGGGTTTGAACCCACCACCTCCAGCATATGGGGCCGATGCCCTACTCCTCTGAGCCACAGGCGCTGCCCCAGGAAAAGAAAATTTTTTTTCGTTTTACTTCTAAGGTCAAAATATCAAGTTTGAGACAAAGATTTTTTTATCCAAACTTAACAAAACAAACCAAATAAAAGCCTAAGTTGCATTCCATTTCAGCACTTCCACTTACTGCAACTGCCAGAAGACTGAATCTTTTAGTGAGTCACTGTCTGGATCTTGATTTCTTTCATTTCACTAACATCTTGGCAAGTCGGCTATGTAACCCTAGTCACAGTTTTACATTAAAACACAGGCAACAAAGGACAATCTGTTTTGTATATAAACTAGTACATTTACTTAAATGGTAATTCACTATTTTTTCCCCTTTGTCTTTCTTATAATGAAAATATTTAAATATTCTGAGACCCATTATGTCTATATTCTTGAGCATTGTACAGACTCTCAGAACTAATCAGGAAATCTCCAGGCATATATATTAGAATTATTAAAGTAGTTCTTTTCAAAATGTACATGCTCAATCTCTACTCCACACCTAATGAATCAGAATCTCTAGAAAATCAAAAGATTAAAGTAACAAGGAAATAGTATGCAATATTAAAAAGAGCAAGGTTTGTCTGGGCACAGTGGCTCATACCTGTAAACCCAGCACTGGGAGGCTAAGGCAGGTGGATTGCTTGAGCTCACGAGTTTGAGACCAGCCTGAGCAAGAGTGAGACCCCTGTCTCTAAAAAATAGCCAGGCATTGTGGGAGGTACTTATAGTCCCAGCTACTCAGGAGGCTGAAGCAAGAGAATCACTTGAGCCCAGGAATTTGAGGTTGCTATGAGCTTTGATGCCACAGCACTCTACTGAGGGTGACAAAGTGAGACTCTGTCTCAAACTCTTGGGTCAGAAACAAAGGACTTTATTTTTCACAGGAAAGCAAGCAATATGAGCATCATGTGTGAAACTATTTCCTTGCCCTCAAACCCCATGAGAGGTAATCCAGATGGGCACAGATGGTTGCCTGGACGCGTAGTTGGTTGTGTTATAGGAGTGTGGGGAAACTGTTGTTTCATAGCAAATAGTAAGCCAATTTGCTCTTTGTCCTAGAGCAGCAGTTCTCCACCTGTGGGTCACAACCCACAGGAACTGTATAAAGGGCCACGGAATTAGGAAGGTTGAGAACCACTGTCCTAGAAGGAGCTATTACTGCCAATGCAACTCTGAGAAATGGACCAAATACAGAGTGGTTAGGACTTTGCATTCATCGCATAACCAGCAAGATGTGTGGTAAAGTGAGAGAACTATAGAAGAGTGTTTCTCAACACATCTATATGAACTTATATTAGAAGATGCCAAGAGTTAATTTGAAAATTAAAAATAAAAAAACAAGATATAGGAACAAATAATAGACTGATCCCATCTGCCCTTTTTTTAAACAGAAGAGACATACAGAGAAAGGCACTTAATATTTTTAGAAGAGTATATTAAAAACTCCCTTGAACTTGGGAGGCTGAGGCAGGAGACTCGCTTGAGCCTAGGAGTTGGAGGTTGCTGTGAGCTGTGATGCCATGGCACTCTATCCAGGGGGATAGCTTGAGGCTCCGTCTCAAAAAAAAAAAAAAACTCCCTTGGAAGGGTGGCACCTGGGGCTCAAAAGGGTAGGGCGCTGGTCCCATATGCCAGAGGTGGCGGGTTCAAACCCAGCCCTGGCAAAAAAAAAAAAACTCCCTTGGAAGTAGAAATGGGGAAACTGAATATAGGAGGGACTTTTATTTTGCTTTATACTGTTCCGTTTGCTTGGTTATTATAAGCATATATTCCTTCTTTAAAAAATCCTAAAAATTCACCTGTTTTTTGTCAGGAGATAGTCTGGCTACTTCTTCATTATCTCCTAAGGATCCATGCTTTCCTTCTTTATTTTTCTAATAAAAATTAAAGGGAGAAAAGATTAGTGCATAAGACATATGATTAAATCAATAGTCCCATATTTAAGGACTAGTTTTCGTGGCAGGAGAGTCAGAGTGAGTGATGTGACATGAACGGCTCAGCTGCCCACTGCTGGCTTTGGAAATGGAAGGGACACACAAACCAAGGAATTCAGGCCATCTCTGGACTGGCAAAGGGAAACAAATGGATTCTCCTCTAGAGCCTCCCGAAGGAACTAAGCTCCACCGACACTTTGATTTTAGCCAGGGAAACTCATTTCAGACTTCTGGCCTATAGAAGTATACAGTTTAATAAATTTGCGTTGTTTTAAGGTACCAACTTTGTCATAATTTGTTATAGTAGCAACAGAAAACTAACATAGGGATGTCAGTAAGGTTCCTCTAAAAGTGAAACTTTAAGTAGAAAGTAGGTTTTGAGGCAAGGCCAAAGTCCTTCATTTACTAGTTCAAAAAATACTTTAACAACTCTTTGCTATAAGCCAGACACGAACTGAGTTGCTCAGGATGTAAGTCCCATAGAGCTTATGGTTTATGAACACAGGGAAGTGACTATGAAGTGAACAGATTAAGACAAGGCGATAGAGAATTCTGTGAGCCCCAAAGCAGGTGGGATAGTTAATGAATTGGAGAAAGTTTTAAAGTAGGTATGGGAAGCTTTGTAAATATGGACCTCTTAGTCTTATAAAACAAGTGTTGGATATTAGAAAAGGAACTACTTCCAAGAAGAAGTTTATAAGAAATCCCATGTTCTGGGCTCGGCGCCTGTGGCTCAAGCGGCTAAGGCGCCAGCCACATACACCTAAGGTGGCGGGTTCGAATCCCCAGCCCGGGCCCACCAAACAACAATGATGGCTGCAACCAAAAAATGGCCAGGCACTGTGGTGGGCGCCTGTAGTCCCAGCTACTTGGGAGGCTGAGGCAGGAGACTCGCTTGAGCCCAGGAGTTGGAGGTTGCTGTGAGCGTGATGCCATGGCACTCTACCCAGGGGGATAGCTTGAGGCTCCGTCTCAAAAAAGAAAAAAAAAAAAAAAAAGAAATCCCATGTTCTGGAAATGAGGTTTCTGTTCAAGCACAACAGGAAGCAGAGAAAGAGATGTATCACTAATAAAATGATAGGGGCAAATGGATGATAGTAGTGCTGGTAATTACATGAATCAAAATTCATAACAGTACCTAACACCTACTGTTTACCATATACCAGGCCCTAAATTATCTCATTTAATCCTCACAACTTTATAAAGTAGCTACTAATATTCCCATTTTACAAATGAGGAAATTGAGGATGAGAGAGATTAAATAACTTAGCAAAGATCACACAGCTGATAAATGGCTAAGCCAAGATCTAATCCGAAATGCATTGTCTTAACCATTATGCTACATTGCTTCTGTCCTGGAAAAGTGAGGTCCTTCAGCATGAAAATAAAGTACCAGAGGACACAATGGAAAGAGAAGAGAGTAACAATATAAGATATATAGAAAAAATGAGGGAGTACTGCAGTTATTCTAGTTCTTATACTTAATATCCAGGCCTTTAAGATAAGTCTAACTTAAACTAAAATGAAAATGTATGCAACAGTAGAAATATTTTTAAATGACAGGCATATTCATAATGTTTGATTTCTACTCCAAAATTTTTCATTAATTGTTAGTTGTTCCTCCCATGGAGTCTCATTAATAATTATTTTCTCTCCCACTTACTTGTTTAGATTTGGATTGGACTCCTGAAAATTCTCAGTTTTTTTTTTCTTTGAGACAGAGACTCAAGCTGTCCCCTTGGGTAGAGTGCCATGGCATCACAGCTCCCAGCAACCTCCAACTCCTGGGCTCAAGCGAGTCCCCTGCCTCAGCCTCCCAAGTAGCTGGGACCACAGGTGCCCACCACAACGCCTGGCTATTTTTTGGTTGCAGCCATCATTATTGTTTGGCGGGCCAGGGGCTGGATTCAAACCCGCCACCTTAGGTGTATGTGGCTAGCGCCTTAGCCACTTCAGCCAATTCTTAGTTTTTATACTCAGTGTTTACCTTGCTGAATAATTCTCAAGGAGCACCCTTATGGTATAAGTATTTGACAATATAAAAAAAATTCACATCAGTTATATTTACAAATGGCTGTGAGTTAATAATACACTAAGGCTGGTAAAAATTACAGACAATTTAAATGTTCGGTAATAAGGGAACAGATAGGTTCATCAATAAACTGTTATGGCTCGGCGCCTATAGCTCAACCAGCTAAGGCGCCAGCCACGTACACCTAAGGTGGCGGGTTCGAATCCCCAGCCTGGACCCGCCAAACAACAATGAC